CCAAAGGAAACAGTTCAAAATGAGTTGTCTCAGTGAAGTTTATGGTAATGTTTTTTACTTTCACGAGTAACAATGCGCTATGTGCTTTATATAGCTGTTGAAAGAATATTCGAGTTTTTACTTCGACTACGTGCATAATTCAAAATCATTTTTGGAGCTAGCAAAGCAGAAAACATGAAAGCTTCACGTCATCTTCAGAAAAAGTCTGAGCTCAGCAACGAACGCATGACTTGCGCGTCGCTATTACACTCATTGGACAGTGAACAAAATGACAACGTAGGCGGCAAAATTGTTGTGCGTTTCTCTTATTTTGAATCTTTTATCTAATCTTCCTCTTATACGAAATATATAAATAAATTATTTTTCAAGAAAGCTTTGTCTTTGAATACCAAAGATGCTACTTTCAGCTACTTAATAATCTACGTCAAATTTTTAGATGCTGTTTCAAGTGAATCCACCAACAAATTTTATTTCAGAATGCGGGTATGGGTAGCTTCACTAGTATTTTATGCATTTGTCTTTGCTGTTTGTGAATTTCTTCGATATTTGATTGTGCGTATAATGCCTAAACGATTGTCAACGGATCTGCTTTTGGAAGTAAGTCAAGAAACTAAGAAATAATATTTCTACATAATAATTTCTATTCTCATGAATGATTTTTTATTGTGAGTATGCTAGATTGTTTTCCTAGCAAACTTTTTGAGCTAATTGTTTGTTTTCTGGCTAAAATCCATCACGAACACGAAAGCAGCCTTATACAGGGTGTCCCAAAAAATGTATCCACTGTTTGATTGTTGATAGCTCTCTTATTATAAGGTCTTTCGAGAAGAGGTAAGCGCCATTTTGTAGAACTGGCTTCAACTTAGATTAGCAGTATGGAGCGAATCACCCATCTCTCTTCATTACTGTAGGATTACGGTGGAAACTTCAAAGAGAGTTTTGAGCCATGAAAGGCCATATTTTGTCTCAGAAAGGAAACAAAACAGCCTGAAAACTTTTACTCTAGGCTAGAGTTGCTGATTATAACTGTAAAGTTCCCAACTTAATATGATGCTTCATTGAAGAGTTATGCCAGGTAAGAGGTAGCGGTTATTTTCTCAATGTTCCTAGAAAATGCGGTTACACCGTTTAGAAAGTTTCGCAATCTTGTGAATAGTTGAGCATTGAACTCAGCATCCGTAAAAACCCTATTGCACAAGTTTTTACATTTTTTTTTTGAAAAATTTTGAAACGGCGGCTTTTTCCACCTTGACACCATATGTTTCAAGTTTCTACCGTAATCCTACAGTAATGAAGAGAGATGGGTGATTCGTTCTATACTGTAAATCTAATTTGAACCTCGCTCTACAAAATGGTACCTAAAGCTTTCCGAAACACGTCAGAGTCAAAGTCACACAAGAGAGTTATTTACAATTAAACAATGGACACATTTTTTTGGGACACCCTGTAGAATAAAGCAGCTCTTTTGAAGAACTTCACTCTATCATAAATCGTTTTTACTGTTTTTTCCTATTTCTCCGACGTCAGAAGGGTGCCTATCTCTTCATCTTATATATAAAGCTGAATGTCTGTTTGTCTGTCTGTCTGTATGTCTGTCTGTCTGTCTGTCTGTATGTACGTATGTTCCGAATAGAAAATTCCATTTCAGAACCGATCGGGACGAAACTTGGCACACATACACTTCGGGCCCCGGCGGGTGTCATAGGCTACTTTTCGTCATCGATCGATATCGATTTTATCGATTTTTATCGATTTTTTTGCTGAGTTCACCTACGGGGCTGGGAGTTGGCACAGGGGGGTAATCGAGCATGGGGATTCCGAATACAATATTGGTTTTCAGGATTATCGATTACTTTTATCGATTTTATCGATTTTTTTGCAAAGTTTGAGCTAGGGGGCTGGGGGTTGGCGCAGGGGGGTAATCGAGCATGCTGATCATCCCCAAGGGGGGTGATCAGCATGCTCGATTACACCCCTGTGCCAAATTCCAGCCCCTAGCTCAAATTTTCAAGAAATCGAAAAAATCGATAAAAGTAATGGACGATCTTGAAAACTAATATTGTAATCGTAATCTGCATGCTCGATTACCCCCTGTGCGAACTCCCAGCCCCGTAGCTCAAACTTTGCAAAAAATCGATAAAATCGATAAAAGTAATCGATAATCCTGAAAACCAATATTGTATTCGATATCCCCATGCTCGATTACCCCCCTGTGCCAACTCCCAGCCCCGTAGGTGAACTCAGCAAAAAAATCGATAAAAATCGATAAAAGTAATCGATAATCCTGAAAACCAATATTGTATTCGGAATCCCCATGCTCACTCCCCCCCCCTGTGCCAACTCCTAGCCCTGTAGGTGAACTCTGCAAAAAAATCGATAAAGATCGGTAAAATCGACATCGATCGATAACGAAAAGTGGGCTGTGACACCCGCCGGGGCCCGAAGTGTATGTGTGCCAAGTTTGGTCCGGATACGGCGGAGCCGGGTAAGCCAGCTAGTTTGTTACATAATTTCACCTTCCCTTCACAGCAATGAGATCGTAAAATGCTTTGCTAACTGCTTTACACACCGAGAATAGTTTTAGGTCTCTGAACATAAATTTGTCTCGGGAATCAGATCCCGAGAATTTCGGCAAAACTGACATTTGTTTCACAATCAAACGACCATTAGTACAGTAGTACAAAGCGTTTTGTCTTACAACTAGAAACAGATAAGTAAAATTTTTGATTGTCGCGAAAGCTGGTCCCCAAACTCGAAGATGACTCATGGGTGAAGGTCTTTTTTTGTCGTTCTATTCAGTCTATCCTCCGTATAGCTGCTTAATCTCTCTGCTCTTTGCGATTTTTGCAGTGTCATCGCTACGGCTCCTTAGGCAGTTTAAGTCATGCCAATGTTTCTAATTTTTCAGCAATTTTATTCCTATATTTTCATGAAGCGGTTTGTAGGTGTTATTTGAACTGAAACTATAGATACACACTCATTTCAAATAGTGTAGGTTAAGTTTTTGAAGTCTGTAATAATCATACAGAGAAGACCTTCTTTCTTCAGCACATTTAGCGCGCAGAAGTACCAAAAATTATAAAAAGTCGATTCTTGGAAGCAAATCAAGCATTGTCTCGCACGAATGATATTCAATAACAATCAAATTGACTCGCACAAACTTTAAAACTTTTGTGGTTTTGCTGCAGTGGCAGTGGTGTATCGCGAGTTTACCAAAGTTCGAGATCATCACGGAAATAAATTTTTGAAGACAGCACATCAAAAGAATTTGAAGGCACTAATTATAGTCCAAAGTTTGCTCTATTGTGTCATGCCTACACTCTAAAATTCAACTCTAAAATCAAATTTTTGAAAATTAGCCGAAGTTCGAGATGATAAAATCTGAAGAACTCTTGATCGCTTCATATAACCTTTGCTCCAAGTTTAGTTTTGAAAACGCATGTTCGTTTGTCTTCCTGTCAACAATATAAGAATTTTTATATACAAGTAAAATGCAAATAATCAATAATGCTCCAGCTTCAGCACCGTGTTACTAATCTCGATTATCACCAAAAAATACCTATAATATTTTATGAAAGTGTGACTACAATGTTGTGCAAGTGTATTTGCTTAATGTTCGCGGGTCTGCATGTATTGGAGAGACTTGAAAATCAAAAATAAACGCTACAAAAAAGTAAATAATCAAAAGGAATTAGTTTATAATGTAGGTTGAAAAGACTCCGCTGTAATGTTATACATATGGTAGGTAAAAAACAATAGGAGAATGGCTTTTTGCTCACTTGCAAAAACTCAGGTCCGAAAAGGTTAAGCCCTCCATACCGCAAGCTGGAAGTCAAAAATACGTTAATTTTTTTTGTTCATGTAATAAACTAGGAAATTCGTCGTGATCTGAAGTAACATAAGAAAGTCTTAAGGAAGTTACATAGCTTTGTAATGCAGCAAAACTTTTGTCCTAGCTAATATGTAGTTCTTGAAGGTAGAACCTCCAAATCGCTCCGTGAAATTGAAGAGATAGCAAACTAGTGAACCCATTTAGATAATTATTTTTTCTTTGGCTCATTCGGTAAATCAAGTTTATCACCGTTTTTTTTACTTTCGATCAATATCGTGTTAATATAGTGACCTCAGAATTTTCTGGTGAGCCCAATATCCCAAGTTCATAGGCTTTGGAAAAACTACCCATGTTACCCGTGTTATCGGTGCTAGTTACTGATGTTACCAGTGTTATTCGTGTTACGCACCAGTCAATGAAATCTTTTTTTCAAAGCTGAATGTCTGTTTCTGTGTGTCTGTACGTACGTTCCGAATAGAAAATTCATTTCTCAACCGATCCTCCGGACCAGACTTGGCATACATACACTTTGGGGCGGAGCGGGTGTCATAGGCTACTTTTTATCATCGACTGATATCGATTTTATCGATTTTTATCAGTTTTTTGCAAAGTTTGAGCTACGGGGCTGGGAGTTGGCACAGGAGGGGGGGGGGGTAATCGAGCATGCTGACTACGAATACAGTATTAGTCTTGGAATTATTAGCTACTTTTATTGATTTTATCGATTTATTTGCAAAGTTTGGGATACGGGGCTGGGAGTTGGTACAGGGGGGTAATCGAGCATGGTGATTACTAAACAGCTGGAATAGGGAAATGGCACGTAGACGTGGGCACAGGGAAAGGTTGTACAGGGACAAGGATGAGAGCTTTATCAAAGTGTTTTGACAGGGCCGAGCGGAGCCGGGCAAGCCAGATAGTTGCCTTATAGAATGAAATTGTATTTGTGATCATTTCACTACTAAACAGCAATAAAAATGGCTAACATTAGTAACACTAGTAACACGTGTAACACGGTAAAGTATGGCCAAAGCCATAACCTTATTCTTCCGTTCGCTCAAAATTAGCAAAAGCTCTGCGCGAATCCATCCATGATCTAAGTGATTTCGCATCACTACATACCTAAATTTTCCGCGCAATTTTTCAAAGATGGAGAAGGACTGATTATTTCAGTTTGTGGGCACATTGCAAGTATGTACTCCAATGTTCGATGTCAATACCGTATTGCACACTTATGGTCTCTTCGGCGTCTTCATAGAAATCACTTGCATTGAACTCGCCAATTGCTATTATCAGAGAGATGCTATAGCAAATCCTTGCCCAATCGTAAGTCTACCGTATGTACTTTTTCTTTGTTATAAATCTTGATGTGTTTACAGGTAACGTCGTGCTACAGACGTTCAAAAGCGATACGTCGTGCTGCTTACGTTTTTATAACGCAAATGCTAGCCGCGTATTTGTCGTTCTTCCTGGCTAGGTCATTCTGGAAGTTGGGCATACATCCGGTTCACTCACAACTTCTTGCTGCCCAACATTGCTCAGCGGATTTAACGGTTTGATTTTTTTGTCTCGTCACAAAACGTTTCACTTCAAAACGGGTATCAACTGAGACCAGTGTTTTATATTAATCTCGCTGTAACACAAAGCGAGTGTGACCTACTTCACTAAAATCCAGAAATAACGGAATCCCATGGCTCTCCTTTTTTCCAAGGAGTTACCGAAGATAAGCCGGAGATCCGATACCCCATCTTAGGGAAGGAAAGTAATAAGTGGATTTTTTTGACAAACGGTTATCTCGTAATGGACATCTATAACTCATTATGAAACTTTCATATTGCCATAATTTAAACAAACCAAGATCAAACAAAATTTCAAATGTCCCACAAGGGATGGATACTTGATCGAAGTGGCGTTTCCATCCATAATGTATACTATCTCATAGAGCATGGTATGCTGATTTCAAAATTACTTTCGGTATCTGCAAGCGCCTCTGGGAGGGGAGTTATGGCAATTTTTTAGTGCAAAGATTCGAAAGCGCCGCTATAATAAAATCTATGAAAACCTTAGTCCGTGAGCTCAAATGGGGCCATGATCACTACATACGTTTTATAGAACAAAAACCTTAAATCCAATAAACTTATATCAGTCATTACTCCTTTCAAGCACCGAAAAGACCTCAATATCTATTTTTATCTTAGCCAAATCAGTGAATTTTTATCTCAAAAAATTCCTAGAACTCCCCTCCCAAAAGCGCTTCGCAGATTTGGAAAGCAGATTTGGAATCAGCGTTCCATGCTCTATAGTATATATTTCATATAGAAACGCCATTTCGACCAAGTATCCTCCCCTTGTTAGACAAGACGGTATGTGCAAAACATAGCTAGAAAGGAAGCTTACTGATGGAGGAAAACTCATAGCAACCTCAATTTCAAAGAGGAAGTACGATATACCAAAACAATTTTTGATGTCACGTTTAGAAAACAGCTTTTTGTTAGTATTTAGCGAAAAGATACAAATAAAACGGAAAGTGGCTATCAATAGCAAGCCAAAGGATGGGTGCGGGCAATGCACTACCATCTGTGAACAATTATCCTGATTTCACGCGTATAAGGCGCACTTTTTCAAATTTTCAAGCGAGCCGCTTAGCCGCTTCACTGTATTTCAGAAAGAAATCCTTACATCGCACGATTCTTTCAAGCGATATACAGCACGTTATAGGGTCCTTTGGTTGTAAAGTGCTTTGGCTTGTCTGGGCTGGTTGATTTTGGAAAAAAAATCCCCCGCGCCTTATACGCGTGATTTTAGGGTGAAAGGAAATTTTCAACTTTGTTGAGATAAAGTTTCAGCTTTCAGAAAAATTCCTCGAAAGCATAGCTGATCCTATTCCCAGAGCCCAAGTTCAAAATATAGCCAAAAATCTTTGAAAATGATCACAGAAATTCTGAGCAAGAATGAGTGGTTAGTGTTCATATAAAAAATTTCTCTCTCCGCTTCTCTCCCCCCCCCTCGTCCCTCGACAAGTAAATGCGAAATCGGAAGCACTTTGATAGAACGTCTATCTTGCTTAGATCAAAAAACTACTACTATTTTATCAGCCTTTTATTCAGTGAAAAAATTTGAGAGTTTTCTATTCGAATTGAATATTTTACTGTTTCAGATTGCTGTCACTACCGGCTGTCTGGTGGAAGGAGGTGCAACCTTCATAGGTGCTTGTGAATGTTGAAATTCTCAAACGTTTGACGTAAATTTCGCTTTCTCAGGAAAAGTTTTTGATAAATACACCAGCGCCTACTTGGAGGACACATGGATGTCAAGTGTTGCTTCCTGTGTATTTAGTGGATTTCTTTGTGCCATTGGTTAGTAAATTACCTACGGAAATTCATTTTCGAGTACAAAGTTGCAAGGAAATGATTGCAGGTATCAACTACACAGGAATGTACGCAAATCCTTTGGTCGCATGGGCTTGTACCTTCAACTGTGAAGGATTAACACATGTTGGGCATTTGCTGGTTTATTGGTTAAGCCCACTTATTGGATGGTGAGCACAAACACTAACGGCTGTTCGGGTCTATCTTGAGCTTCCCCAATAGCTACTATTTCAAGGTTCACAGCTGAGGCAATGCTTGGAGATGATGAAGAAGAGGAAGTGGAAAAGAAAAAACAATGATAACGATTTCCAGCAACTTTCGAGAGGAAATAACAACATCCAGCGCAGGATGCATGCCGGTCAAGAAGAACCTAACCTTCCATTTGCTCACTTAGGAATTGATGTTAGATGCATAATAAGTGATATGAAGTAACGTAAAGGTGGTGCATTGGTTTATTATAAAATAGGGAAAAACTCAAAGACTTTTACTAAAGATGTGTCGTCTTCTCAAGCAGCATCCGAGCTGTTAACAATTTTTCATTCAACGAGACCGATGTTTGGCTTTATCGACAAAGCTCTCGAATTCGCATGTATTGGGTTGACCCATAAGAATTTCCATATCCGACTTTTCACCAACATAAGTCAATTCTTCTTATATTCCTGATAGGATGCTGGATATCATTCGACAGATCAATGCTGCTCCACAGGATGATTTCAAGCTTGAGCTGCATCAGGTTTGCAATCAAAATGAAAAAATTCCAAATTCTAGAAAAACGAAAATAATCGTGTCCAGTTCGAAAATGCTAGTTCCCCAATTGCTCAGTTGCTCATGACTACAGGGTGTCCCAAAAAAATGTACCTACTATTTGATTGCAAATAACTCTCTTGTAATGAAGTGTTTCGAGAAGTTTTAGGTACCATTTTGTAGAGCGAGGTCCAACTTAGATTTGTATTATGGAGCGAATCACCGGTCGGTGTTGGTTACTGTAGGATTACGGTATGAACTTCTAGCATATGGATTTATTGTGAAATATGCTATTTGACAAATTTTTTTTCAAAAAATCTGAAAATCGTGCACTAGGGTTTTGGCGCATGTTGATTCCACCTAACAACTTCTTACGAGTGTTTTCAGCTTTTTTGACGGTGTAATTACATTTCTGACAAATGCTGGGAATTGAGTTATTACGAGTTACCGGGGATAAGTTAGGAAAGAAGCATCACAGTAAAACGAGAACTTCAAATTCGAAATCAGCGGCTTCTATTACCGTAGTATAAGAGTTTTTGGCTTGTTTGGTTTTGTTCCGAGGCAGAATATAGTCTCTATTGATCTAAAATCCATGTCGAAGTTCGTACTGTAATCCTACGTTAATAAAGAGCGATAGGTGATTAGCCCCATACTGTAAATCTAAGTTCAATCTCGCTCTACAAAATGGTACCTAAAGCTTTTCAAATTACTTCACTACAATGGAGTTATCTACAATCAAACAGGTACATTTTTTGGGACACCCTGTGTGAGAATATAGTGTCCCTGGGACACCCTGGGACACTATATTCTCACCATCAGATATTTATGCAACCTGCAGCATTCTTAAAAGTCAAGAAAAACGTAATGTGCTGAAATTTCAAACTTTGCCTGTAGCGGTGCTGTGTTCCTTGCAAATTGTGATTATATTACCCTAATTTCCAGAGTATAAGGCGCATTTTCGTGCACCGCGCGCGGGCTCATTTGCGACGTCGCAAGCGACGTGCGACGTCGCGAAGGCCGCAAAGTGCTGACTTTTCACAACTTTTCTGCAGTTGAATTTCTTGCAATCATGAGTTGTTTCAAAACAAATTCTGTTACTACCTTCGAAATTCATTGAGCTAAAGCTATCATTGAGATCGTTTAAGTCTATTTATATCTGTTGTCAAGGCTTCATTGAATCCATTTAAGATAAAATCGACAATGACTTTATGAAAACTTTGAGGTACCCATTCAGCAATCATTTCAAGCCGCGGTCCCTTTCTCCTTCCTCCCCTGGTGGTTTCTACGTGAGTATTGTCGGCTATCCAGGCATCCCAAAGCTTCCTCAAATAATCCTTGAAAGGCTTATTGACAGATACATCGAGGTTGCAGATATTTCGTTAATACTTTCTGTTAATACTCATCCCCTAGTGGGGAACGGCCGAACCTTGGGTGCAACTCTTAAGTGCATTTGTCGCGCTTTCGCGCGCGACAGGTGCGCCTTATACATAGGTGAGCCTTCTCCGGAAATTAGGGTATGTAGCTTATTCACTCAATTATACTGCATTGAGAAATATCGTTTGAGGGTTCGAATATAGAATGACTCATGGGAGGACAGCCTTATACAAGTGTAACATTTTCGCAGACGCCAACATCAGGGTTCGAGGTGACATTCAGTTCATGATCTATAAATTGATGTTATGCTGACAATGAAAGGATGATCGAAGTGGCATATGGGAAGGCGATATATTAGGGTGAACGGTAAAAAGTGGGACACCTTAATTTTATTACATTTTGTGATTTTTTGTTTCGATCAACAACCAGCAAACTGCAACCTGAACGTCGCCTACATAAGCAAGCATCGCGTATTAATCCGGTAACGCATTAACGCTCCTCTCCCATCATCCTAGGCGTGGCGCCGTGAAGAACTCGAACAGGGTTTTTTTTGAATATCTCTCAATCTTGCGCTTAAGCACATTGTAGTCATAACGCAAATGACATATCATTCAAAAAAACTCTTCGTGCTCTTCAGTAATACAGGGTGTCCCAAAAAATGTACCTACTTTTGATTGTTAATAACTCTTTTGTAATGAAGTCTTTCGAAAGGCCTCAGGTACCATTTTGTAAAGCTAGCTTCAACATAGATTTACAGTATAAAACGAATCGCCTATCTCTCTTCATTACTGTAGGACTACGGTAGAAACTTCAAAGAGGGTTTTGAGCCATGAAAGGCCATATTTTGCCTCAGAAAGAAAACAAAACAGCCTGAAAACTTCCACACTAGACCAATTAGAGTTGCTATTCTAATTAGTTCCTAATTTCTTATGATGCTTCACTGAAGGGTTATGCGAGATAAGCATTGGCGGCCATTTTTTTCAATGTTCCTGAAAAGTGCGATTACTCCATTCAGAAAGCTTCGCAATCTTGTGAATAGTTGAGTATGGAACTCATCGCCGCCACTTTGCCGCCACTCGTGCCTTATCGCCGCCACTTTCGCTTTGCGCTGAAGACTTTATGGCAGCCCGCTCGCTGCCAGTTCTAGCAAAGTATCTCAGCGGAAAGCGAAAGTGGCGGCGGTAAGGCAACGGCGCTTTTGGTGGGTCCGGCTGAGATCCTTTGATTGTCTTAGATTTTTAACGAGTTCAGAATAGAGCCAAAAAAGCGCACGAATTTTGGATCCACCTAATATATATGGTCATACGTTCTCGGATCGTATAGTGGCCGTCTGGGACTATTTTTGGAAAAGCATTTCTTCGCATAGGTTTTCGTAACATTTTACATCATTCCTCCGCAAATGATATTTTATGTCTACAGTCCAAATTTGGTGTCATATGCTTGTCTCTCCGCTGTAAACAAACAATTTCTTGATTTTGGCGTTGCTTTCAAATCGCGCGCGCTTTTCGCAGGAGGCTATGGAGCACGTCCATCGTGCGATATCTGTTTTCAAAGCTTGTGCTTGACGCAGTGGTCGCTTCTGGCATCACAAGGTGTTGATTAGTAATGCTTGTACACAATTTATTCCCGGACCCGCAAAAACGATATCCTCTTTGCGTTTTGTTCCAAAAACAAAGTCCATGTTGCTTCCTTTTGGTCTGTGCCGGGCATTGCGCCGACATCTAAGCAAACGCTTTATAATATTTCGAAAATGTGTTACAGAATACTTGGCTATTCCGCGCTCTCTTTCCGGAGAATGACTAAGCAGGTAATGATATGTTGAGATCACCTTTTCAATTCGAGGGCGATGAGATGCAGCATGGATTGGCGGGACCAAGTTTAGAACATCCCGGTAGTAAAAATCCCATTTCAAGCATGGAAAATTTTTGTTTTTCTTGTAGAAAAATTATTGTCGATATTTTCTGCGTAACTGACTGAGACAACCCGCTTTTTGAATCGGCAGCACTCTACACCAAAATCAATCTCTTACCAGCATCGGAGCACTACATATATGAGTCAAGATCCAACTTCGACTCCTAAGATATGGACTCTCACACAACCTCAAATCACCTTACTTAAATCTCACATTGCCTTCTTGTCAGGAAAACATCTTTTCCACACCTACCTCGATTCTAGTCTCCACTAGCAACCTACAAATGAAAAATAGAGTTGTCAGAAACAAAGAGATCTCAACGTGTATTAGGATAGACACAAAAGATCGTAAATTTGCTTGAATGGTATTGCGGAGTCGTAAGGGGGAGGAGAGTTCAGGCACTACTGTGTGTTTAGAAACGCGTTCTTCTTACTCAAGCTTCAAATGTAAGTCTAATCTTAAATGTTTTCTGCGATAGAATTCGTTTTGCTATTTATTATGTGACTACACACAACGAAACCTTCGATTCTTTGATAAGCCATCGAAAACCACCTAAAAATAGCATGAGTGTTGCAAATTTATAAGCTATGAGCGATTCAACAGAAAGCTAGAAAATATCTAGAGAAATCGAACGTTATTTATAAAGAAGTGACCAACCATCTGCAAAAGTTGCTTATAAATGAATGCTGGATGAAAACCGTGTACGAAAAGCTCCCTCGTGCATCCGGAGAGTACTGCTTAATCATGCCATTTTCAAAATTTGTTTCTTATTTTCACTTTATAATTTCACTCGAGGTGCACCAGAGAGGAATAATAATAAGAAGCTTCAGACAAATAACAGACCAGCCAATCTTCAACCTCAGTGCGAGATAGAAAATGTTGGATAACAGGACACGAAGCCTTAGACCCATTCTGGGAACGCAAGTAAATGTGCACTTTGTCCATAACGGCAATCTCAAAAGTCTTGCATCCCTGAATTTCATGGTGAGAGTTTTTGGGTGTCTCCGAACCGCCCGGTAAAAGCTAGCTCAGGTAATCCCTATAACAATTTGTTCTGATTAATAACAATCGGGGTGCTAGAAATGAACAGCCTGCTAGCCGTGTTAGTATAAACATGCCCAGGGGACTATAGATGGGGACTAGGCTCCACTGAGATACTGAAATGTTGGCTAGGGTCCCTTGATGATTGAGAGATGGGCTAGACTGGAAGTAAGGGCATAAATATATTTAGTAAAAAAAATACTGAAACTGTAAATAGCATCCAGCTTCACTATACTAGCAGACTATCTGTAGAAAAAATCAAATTGTTAAATAACAATAAACGACGAGGTAGAGCGGTGTTTGAAGGCAGCGTCCAGGCAAATCTGGACCTATGGGGATTTCACGTGGGAAGTAAATTTGGGGCCGTA